CAACCTGGGGGGTCTGCCACCCCTACCACCGCCCCTGCTTGTTCACCCCCCCCCACCCCTGCTCTTTCTTTCAGACAGAAATACAAGGGCCTGTTGGAAACATGGCATCTAACAAGCCACTTTGACAGGGGAGTTCCCTCCTGGTTTCTTGTAGAGGTTGGCCCTGCCTAGTCCAGCAGCCTCAGGACCTGATTGGTCCCAACCAACAGAGTTTGCTGGCTCAGGGGATGTCAATTCTGGCCCCTCGGTCACTGGGTTCTGGTCCCCTCCTGGCCCCTGCTGCCAGCAACCTCTGCCACTGGACTACCAGCTGTTGCTAGACCAGGCAGCCCCAACATCAGTGGTCCTGCTAAGTCAGATGTTGCCAGACTAGTGAGGTTCAACTTGTACTGCTCCCAACACCCCGCTGCCCCCACCCTCCTGGGGCTTGCCTGCACTACCAGGTGTGGATGTTTGACCTTGTGCTACCTGGGCCCACACCTAGAATGTGTCTAACAATACCTCCCCCCCCATATAGAACCAGTGTGTTCTGCTTATAACCAAGTAGCAGCATCTACACTGGCAGGCACCCTGATGGTCCTCCAGCAGCTGTCCCAGGACCCATGACTGCTTTGACCTCCCATGCCTCAGATCCTAGAAGCCCCTCCACTTTCAAGGGCGCCAGCCTGGTTTTGCTGATCCTTTGTCTGGTTGCACACCCTGCTGAGCACCCGGACTGGCCTCTGAGCTGCAGTCCAGCCAAAACCACTTGGTTGGTAGAGGAAAGATGGCTGCCCTAAGTAAGCTAGAACCACTTAACCCCCTTCTCCCACCACCCCCTTACATGAGCTAGAATAAAGAGATATGGACACATCCTATTTCCCAGTTTGCTTCCATTGAGAAGGGCAGAGTTCTAGGACTCCCTGGCCTTACTGGCATGCTCAGCCATCCACTAGCACCCAGCCCAGGCAAAGCAGCCCCCTACGCCCACACAACCTGCAGGCAAGGGGCTGCTGCAGCCTGGCTAGGTGCACTGGGCTGTGGCCAGAGTCCTGCTCCAGCAGCCTGGGCATGATGCAGTGGCTGGCAACACAGCAGGAGGGAATGATACTCACAGCACATGCCGCGGGCCACAACGTAAGTGTGATTGCATAGAGATGCAACTAGCTTTTCCCCATTGACCAGGCATGATTATAAAGCACTTCCCACAATGCTCCTGCGCTCCCTGCACCTCCTCCCTAGGGGGTTAGAAAAACGGACAACCTGTACACACCTGTTCCAGCCAGCCCATCTGCTTGCATCTTTCAACACTCACACCACGCAGAAGATACTTGGCTGTTGTGGAGTGTTCCCAGTGGGGACCACATGCAGAGGATCCCACCCATGGGCTGCCTGTTGAGCCCTGCGTAAACCCAAACTGCACCATAGGCTGCATGTGGTTCACGTATTGAGTAGCCCTGCACTAGAGGCTTGACATTTTAAACGGGGTTTTGCATTTGCTCACCTGTGCATTTATAGGTAGGGCTAGCAGTTCAGTACAGGCAGGTCAGTACAGGCTGGTAAGACCCTTGTTTGTAGGCGATGGCATCTTAATTGGCTCCTTGGCTAGAAAGACCAGGCAGATGTTTCCTGGTGCCCACCAAGCTCCAGCCAGCTCTGCCAGAAGGTGTTTGACCATCTGTGTGCACGCTGCAGCGGTCTGGGCTGCAAGACCACGGTGGAAAGCCAAGTGCAGCGCTCTACATTTTTTCCCCCACTTAAGGAAGATGTCACAGCTTGTCAAGCGCAGGAGATACACATGTACCATGGTGAGGCTGTTTAAATGCCCAGAATGCTCTTAATGATTTGCCTGATTTTGTTCACGCTCACCCAGAAAGGCAGAACACCCAGCCTTCGAGTCAACTAAAGAGGCTCAGGAACATCCCTCCCCCACGAGAGAAACCCTCATGCAGCTAAGGCATTAGCTGAGCACGGGAAGCCCTGCATGGTGGAGTCTCCAATCCCAGCAGCCTGAGGTTGTTTATGCACCTGAACATGGCTTGGGGGCAGGGCTGTAATGCAAGAGCCGCCCCCACCCCCCCAGCACCTAGAACTCCCAGGCATGAGCAGATAGTGCTGAGTTAGAGCCAGGTGCTCTGGTCTAGCCCCCCCATCACAGGGCTAGTGAACCCTGATCTCTTCCCCCCCTCGCCCCTGTGATTCAGTAGAGTCAGACATCCATGGAAATCCCAAGGAGTCCTAAAAAGGACTGTGGAACTACAGCCCTGCTGGGTGCTCTGAAGCTCCTAGGATTGTCTCTTCCCAGGAGAAGCCCAGCCTTCAGGCAGGGTTGAGAGAGTAGCTCAAGTTAGTTTTAATCCAGATTTCAGTGCCTCAGCCCCGTGGTGGGGACTCTTTGGTCTGATTACATTATGGGGGAGGGGGGGGAAGAAGGACATGGAAGCCACAGCTGAGGGACAGCTATGCCAACCTTAGTTCTGTCTGGGAAAAGGGGGGGGGGGGGTTTAATAGAGGAGCTCCATCTCCACAAGAGGCAGTGGAGTCGATGGGAGAGCTCTTCCACGTCAGCTTTAGGAGATTCCTCCGAGTGCGACAGTGGTGCAGTTGCACCACGCTTGCCCCGGCACAGTGTAAGAGCCTCCAATGCTGGGTTTCCCCATGCCTACAGCGCATGCAGGGGCTTGTCCAAATGCTCCTCTAGCACATCCAGATGCTGTTTAGCCTCCCCATTACGAGAGCGACAAGGAATCCTGTAGCACCTTATAGGCTAACAGATGTATTGGAGCACGAGCTTTCGTGGGCAGAGACCCACTTTGTCAGATGCCCATGAAAGTTTATGCTCCAATACATCTGTCAGTCTCTAAGGTGCTATAGGACTCCGTCGCTTTTGCGGATCCAGACTAATGCGGCTGCCCCTGATACTGACACTTCAAGACAACACCATAGGAAACTGGAGTTTCCTTAAAAAGCAAGCGGTGTTGTCAGGACAAAACAGCCCTCCCTAGTCTGACTGCATGCCCTGATCTGCCACAGCAACAAGGCAATGTCAGTCATTTAGTCCTGCCCAGGCACTGCAGAGTGAGCATGTCAATTGCACGGCTAACCGGAGGCCCTTGGACCAAAGGTGCGATCTTTGTGAGAATTCCAATGTTTGCTGATCCATTGGTTACCAAAAGAAAACCAGTCCTGCAAAGCACTTCAAGTATTTAATCGGCACATGTCCCTTGTCACAGGGGACTGTCTCTGCATGTTACAATTCTCCGCTTTGCAAGCCAATACACACTTACGCCTTCCCAACGATCAGTACAGCAAATGGTTACAGCAGCTTGCACAAGGAGACATGGGGCTAGAGGCTACTCAGACTATTGGTTGGTACAGTTGGGTGGGGGAAAAAAGAGCAAACGGGCCCTTTAATCCCTACTGGTACAGAAGCGAGACCAGTGGCAATTCACGTTTCCCCAGCCAGCCCCCACAGAGGAGTTATAGAATAATTAGTCCCTCTGCTGCAAGATGGAGTCAAAGCCAGACATCTAATCTCATCTCTAGCCCCAAGAAGGACAGTATGGAGTGCTCTTAGTGACAGATCCATAGCCTCACATTTTACTTCACCCTCATGATGAATCACCAGTAAGAAGTGCACACTAAGTCCCTATACAGGTGATCACTGAATTAGGTTTATACAAGCTAATGCATGTGTCTAAAGCCATCTTAGGAAGTTTTGGAAGGAGCACTCCCAGCAAGGAATACACTGTCCCAGCACGTTTTGCAACAGGATTCAGAAGCATTTCCTGTGAACTATGGCTGGCCCGGCCTCGTCGTATTCCTGCTTACTGATCCACACCTGCTGGAAGGTAGAGAGGGAAGCCAGGATGGAGCCACCGATCCAGACGGAGAATTTGCGCTCCACCGGGGCGATGATCTTGATCTTCATGGTGCTGGGGGCCAGCGCAGCGATTTCCTTCTGCAGGCGGTCTGCGATGCCGGCGTACATGGTGCTGCCGCCGGAGAGCACCGTGTTGGCGTAGAGGTCCTTGCGGATGTCAATGTCGCACTTCATGACTGCGTTGAAGGTGCTCTCGTGAATGCCGCAGGTCTCCATGCCCAGGAAGGAGGGCTCCTCTCGTTGCCAATAGTGATCACCTGCCCGTCAGGCAGCTCGTAGCTCTTCTCCAGGGAGGAAGAGGAAGCGGCCGTGGCCATCTCTTGCTCGAAGTCCAGGGCGACGTAGCACAGCTTCTCCTTGACGTCACGCACGATCTCCCTCTCGGCCGTGGTGGTGAAGCTGTAGCCCCGCTCCGTCAGGATCTTCATGAGGTAGTCGGTCAGGTCCCGGCCAGCCAAGTCCAAGCGCAGGATGGCGTGAGGCAGCGCGTAGCCTTCGTAAATGGGCACGGCGTGGGTCACCCCGTCCCCAGAGTCCATCACGATGCCAGTGGTACGTCCAGAGGCATACAGAGCCAGTACAGCCTGGATGGCCACATACATGGCGGGGCAGTTGAAGGTCTCAAACATGATCTAGGAGAAAATGAGACTTACTGCACTGAAGGAACCACCATCCACACTGTGACCCAAGGCTCCCCCTTGTATCTGGAGCTAGCCAGGGCTAACGCTAGATAACGTCAAGGATTACAGAATATAACAGCCAGACTGGGTCAGACCAACCTTCCATCTAGCCCAGTATCCTGTCTGCCAACAGTGGCCAATGCCAGATGCCCCAAAGGGAGGCACAGAAGAGGTCAACACGTGATCCCTCCCGTCACACAGATTAGACTGTTCTGAGCTCAGTCAAAATACTGGTCTCCCCTTTGACCTAAAGAGACTTCTGCTGTCAACAGCAAGAGGTGTGCAGTACAGCGGACACCACACAGGCACTGTGGTGATGGGCATCCAGGTATTTCTTAAATGGCTTTTGCAATAGACTTTGGCCCGAGAGGTTTCAATAAGTTTTAGCTCTTCTTCCCGCCCCAGGCCATCTACCGGTTAAATTTATAGTGAGACTTTTCCTCTAGAAAAATTGGTTAGAGCCCTGCAAGTGCTGGTGAACTAGTTCCCTGGACACTCAGTATCAAGACAAAGAAGTGGAGACAGCCAGACCCTGAAGTGGCAGGTCTGCCACTTTTTTGGAGCCAAGGAGTAGAACAGTAAGACATACAGGATAGACAGTTGCAACTGTACCTGGGTCATCTTCTCTCTGTTGGCCTTGGGGTTCAGGGGCGCTTCTGTCAGCAGGACAGGGTGCTCTTCTGGGGCAACACGGAGCTCGTTGTAGAAGGTGTGGTGCCACACTTTCTCCATGTCATCCCAGTTGGTGACGATGCCGTGTTCAATAGGGTACTTCAGGGTCAGGATGCCTCTCTTGCTCTGGGCCTCATCCCCGACATAGTTGTCCTTCTGCCCCATCCCAACCATGACCCCTTGGTGCCTTGGGCGCCCAACAATGGAGGGGAACACGGCACGAGGGGCATCATCGCCAGCAAAGCCAGCTTTGCACATCCCAGAACCATTGTCAAGGATGAGCGCGACAGTTTCTTCTTCGGCCATTTTGGTTTGTCTGAACGAGGAGAAAGGGAGACCAGGCTGTTAAGTCACAGTCAACTGCCCCTGCTAGGGAGCCGCTCAGCACTTTGGCAGCTAGTATGTGGATTGTTTATATCCGTGTCAGACCCGAGAATAATTACCCAAGTATTTCTGAAGACAAAGGGACCCTTAAGGGGAAGCTCCAGGAGCTAGACAGATGCTTTTGGAAGGGGACTTGAGCAGCCCTCAAATACTGGCAGATATAAATGTCTATGCTATTTCCAGCCTCTATGGCCAGCTAAGAGACTAAACTCAAGTGCCACTTCAAGGACAGGCTTTTAATGCTACAGGCCAAGTCCGAGTGGAGGCTGCTTCTTTTCCCCAGCTACCCCAGGCAAGGCAAGTCCATTCAAGACAGAATTTAGGGGGATGTTTTCATTCAGGTCATTCAAAATGCCACATACTTGAGTGTCCTGCATCTGTAGGAGCTACATGGTGGGACCCACCTATTGGCTTAGTTCTGGCCTTCTCAGTGACAGTGGTAAGAGCTAGGTTTTCCAGCTAGCTCAGCACTCATGTTTCTGGCATGTTGACTAAAGCCTCAGCTTGTCCTGGTGAAGGGCTTTTGTTATACTCCAACCTCTCAAGGGCTCCTCTAGCCAAGCCCATGTTGGATTTTGCCTCCATCTGGCTTAATTCTGGCCTTCTCAGTGACTAAAGGCAGACAGTGGTAAGAGCTAGGTTTTCCAACTAGCTTAGCACTCATGTTTCTGGCATGTTGACTGAAGCCTCAGCTGGTCCTGGTGAAGGGCTTTAGTTATACCCCAACCTCTCAAGGGCTCCTCTAGCTAAGCCCATGTTGGATTTTGCCTCCATCTGTTTCCCTTACTCCTTGTGAGGAGCAGGAATACTAGTGCTGACAGGGGCACCCTCTGAGTTTTAGTGGATCTAGTACAGACCCACTCAACCAAACCCTGGAACATCAGCCATCTTCACTGTAGTGTCAACATGGTCTCAGAACCCCCAAGATTGCCTGAATGGAGTTAATCTTAGAACATTAGAACTGGAAGGGACCTCGAGAAGTTAGAGTCTAGTCCTCTGCCACCTGAATGGAGTTAGAGTCTAGTCCTCTGCCCTCACAGCAGGACCAAGCACCATCTAAGCCATCCGTGATAGTCCACAACCTCCTTAAGCAATTTACTCCAGTGTTAGCCACCCTGACAGGCAGGAAGTTTCCTAGTGGCCAACCTCAGTCTCCTTTGCTGCTGTTTAAGCCCATTGCTTCTTGGCCTATCCTCAGAGGCCAAAGAACAATTTTTCCTCCCTCTTCCTTGTGACACCCTTTCAGATGATAGCAGTTTTCAAGTATGTCCCCTTCAGTCCTCCTTTCCAAACTAAGGTAGCCCAGTTCTTTCAGCCTTCCTTCATAGGTCACGTTCTCTAGACCTTTCATCATTCTTGTTGCTCTTCCCTGGGCCTTCTCCATCTTTCTTGAAATGGTGTCCAGAACTGGACATCCTCCTCCAATTGAGGCCTAATCAGTGCAGAGTAGAGCGGAAGAATGACCTTGTGTCTTGCTCACATTTATTAATGCATCACAATGATGTTTGCAACAGTTGTGTCGTGCTCACATTTATTAATGCATCACAATGATGTTTGCAACAGTGTCTCACTGACTCGTTTAGTTTGCGGTCCACTAAATCCCTTTCTAAACTCAACTGCCTTATTCAGTTTGCACCAACTGCTAGAGACTGGTTACTTGCAATGCTGTAGCCTTTGAGCTCAGGGCAAGAGGAGTAACTCATGACCCTACAGACTATGCTCTTGCCCGGAGAAGCAGCTGCCCCTGCAGCAAGGCAGGAGGGGAGGAAGCTTCCAGCCGCCTCAGCCTGGCCCTTGCTAGAACCAAAGACCGTAAATGTATGCACCCGCTATGGGAAGTGGGTATTTTAATGCCATGGCTCTGTCAGGAGCAGGTGGATGGACCTTGGAGCATGAACCTTATGTAGGATCTGACATGCCATTGCCACCTTCCTAATGAACATCTGATTGCATGTTGGAAAAGGGGGGGCTGGAAGGCACACATGGGAAGGAGCAAAGCAGCCAATAGTGGGGACCGACAAAAGTGCTGGAAGTGAGGGAAGAGTAATTAAAGCGCTGCGTGCCTTCCGGCCCCCCCCTTTTCCAACATGGGAAGAAGCAACAAAGCCAATAGCGGGGACCAACAAAAGTGCTGGAAGTGAGGGAAGAGTAATTAAAGCGCTGCCTAACCTCGCTGTACCTTGGAGGTATTTTAACATTACTCTCTCTGGCAGCAAGGATTGATTGATGGCCCCTTGGCATGCTGAAGCCCTGATTAATGTTAAGCTAACCAGTCCCTCCACTCTCTGGGGAATTAATCACTTAAATGTGGAAATTACTCACTAAACCATTCATACACGCAATAAACCAAGCCATTAAAAATTAATCGCTTGACATCCCTGCCATGTAAACACAGCTAATAAGATTCTGACGGAGGGAAGACTGCCAGCCGGCCAGACCACGCCAGGAACAGACAAGGCTACGGAGGAGAGCAAAGTCCAGGCAAGAGCCAACTAGGGTGTCTGAGGGCAGCTCTTTGGCCCCCATTCCAACATCTAGTCGGCAGCCCCTGGGGCCAGGCTCTTGTTTGGAAGAGGCCTTGCCATCAATTGCACCCCCAGGGAAATTTGTACACAGCCAAGCATGTGCCATAACCAATGCCAACCCTGCAGCTAGATTAGGGTGACCAGGTGTCTGACCGAATGCCTCATTGAAGAGGGACCCTAGCAGTTAGTCACTTGCTGATTGGGCTGTTGGAAACCTAGGGGTAAAGCGGGTAGTCCACACCCATCCTATGCCCAGGAAGCAGCCAGAAGGTCCTGCTCTACGTGGTACCCCCCTGCTTTGTGCTACCCTGCCCTGAGCATCAGTCCTTGACTCCCATTGGCCAGGAACCAACCAATGGGAATTTAAGGGCAGCACGTGGAGCCTCCCGATTCCCCTAGGTGCCTGCCACACCCCGAAAGCTGCCAGGCATGGAGCCCAGACAGGTAAAGGAGCCTGTCTTAGCCCTGCTGCACTGGCCAGGAGCTGCCTGAAGCAAGCCTGTACCCCAATTCTGGCCCCCACAAACCTGGAGCCCCCTACCCCTCAAGCCCCCCCTTCCCTGGCCCTAAGGGCATCAAGCCTGCATGGGCCTCTGGGCAAGAGGGAGGAGCAGCTGTCCTCCTGGAAGGGGCGGGGCCAGGCAGCTAGCTCTGCACCACTTGGAGTGTTTTGCTGACCCCTCCCACTTAGGGAAGTGTACCATTCCTCCTGCAGCCCTTGGCCTGTGACTGCAGAGGCATTGATGGTCCCCTTCACCTTGGAACCGGTTATCCTGTGCAAGATCATTCAACCTGTATTAGCTTTGATGCTTAGAGCCATTGATGCTTAGAGCCATCAAGGCCAGGAAAGCCTCTCAGCAAGTTTAAATGCACGTCTCACTGATGGAAGTTGGTCCAATAAGATTAATTCACTCACCTTGTCTCGGGCATGTGCAAGAGATGAAGAGGTGCCTGAAATGGTGTTTAATTAGCAAAGCAGGGCAGGGAAAGTCAGCTCAGAGATATTTGAACAAGGCTGTGACGATAAGCAGTCACAAATTCAACAGCAATTCACGGCAAGAGGAGATTGGCTTTGGAAGATGGGCTACATGACGGGGAAAGATTAAGTATTTAGAACGGTCTCTGGTACCTGTCGATATGCCAAGGGCCAGTACTTGCAAGGAGATTAGGGCTTGCAGGTTGGATTACTTACCCATTCGCTAGGGAGCCCTACAGGCAGAAAGCCTCAGCTCACGAAAATATGCACATTTTGACTAAGCAATTTGGCAACAGCCAAAATGAATAGTTTTGCCAGATTTAAAAGAATTTGAGCATTAGAGCTGTGTGGATGTTACAGGGGACTTGAATTTTAACTTTAAGAAATGCTTGCTTGAAATCAAGACAACATTGCTTCAAAACAAGGAAGTGATTTTTTGGGTAACTGCCAAGGAGCTGAAAAATTTGATACAGCTACAGCTTTGGCAGGATGAGACTGAGGACAGCTGTGAGTCAGTCTATGGAGATTGTTTGGAATCCAGGGAATAGCAGGTATGAGATACCTGCCCATAGAGCTTTCTGCTGTTTTGCAAACACTCCCAATTGGCCATATCGAAGTTAAAAGCAACCTAAAACCCTCAGTGCCCGGTTGCGATAGCAACAGAAAACATTCTATGATCTGAAGAGGAGTATTCTAGTCATGGCTAGATTTGCTTTCAGGTCAAGTGTTCGACCTGGCTGGCTGAATTTTGGAAATGTGATTTCCTGAGGAGCCTCATCAAGTTGTCAATAAGGTGTCTGCTAGAAGATCTCACTGGGGCCACATTTTCATCACAGCAGTGCAATAGCTTGGGATCATGGAGTCTTGGCAGCCACATCAGCATGTGTTGCAGTTCAGCTGGATCCGGGTACATTGAATTCAGGAAAGGGCCTGTACAGACTCATTTCTGGTTGCAAAGCTAGACAAGAGCTTTATTTTAAAGCAGAGATGCTAGGACAGCTCTCCCTACGTGCTGTTCGATGTCCATTTTGACTTGGACAATGTTAGCTCGCTACTTCTGGGGCTGACAATTTCTTGCTTCATGGTCACTGACCAAAGAAACTTGTATTATTTTGAATTTCTCCCTCCCCCCACCATGAGGCCAAGACTGACCACTAGATGGCAATGCATGGTAGAGGCAGCTGGTGCTTAACTCCTAAGAAAGTGTTAGATGGTGCCATGACTTGGGTGGGCAATAATTTGATGCCCCCCCTCCAGATTTTGGAAAGTGGTCAAGGGCCACACTTCCATTCGGGGTGGGCAATAATTTGATGCCCCCCTCCAGATTTTGGAAAGTGGTTGAGGGCCACACTTCTCTATGGAGGGGGTGCAGGGTCTGGAATGGGGACAGGGTAGAGAAAGGAACTGGGGAAGTATAGGGA